TTTTAAAAAAAAAGTTATCAAGCTCTTAAAAAATCACCCGTTATTTACATTTACGTTTTAAATATAATTCATGTTTTATCTTGAAAATGTTTAAAATTTACATTAAATTAGATAACTACTTCGCATAAGCTTTACATTTAGGTTGATAAAATTTTATTGAAAATATTTTAAAAATCTTAGTGTCTTTAATCAAAAAATAGCTCATCATAAAAATTGTATCGCCGTTCGGCGTCGGCGTAAGTTTGTAGGTCCCTCCCATTTGTGTGACAGCAAAGGCGCACGCTACAAATCGGAGGAGAAGCTCGGCAAAAACTTAGCAAAAGTGTCAAGGCCAAAATGTGATTATTATAAATAAATTTAGTTTCAAACAGGTCGCAACCCTCTTCAAACACCTCAAAAGTATTCCCAATATTATTTAGTTGTGAACCCGCATGAGTCCGAAATTACCATTTTTTACCAGAATTTCCAGATTTTACCGGAAATCGTACTTGGTTTTCTGGCAACTGAGAGGACAGATAAGAGAGTAAGTAAGGTCATCTCTTTGTCAGAAGCTACCTGGTGGAAAATTCTGGTAAATCTGGCAAAAGATCCGATGTAGTGTGTTTGACAACCAAATTGTAAACAAAAGAGAAGTGCACTCTGCTAATGCATGTTGAAAAGTAAGTAATTCCTTGCTTGAGTGGATGCTAATGAGTTTTGGTTAAATTACAAAACGCTTAAAAAGGTATTAGCTGTAATTTTACGTTTAAAAACTTTAAAACTTTAACACATTACCACCCTATACTCTATATGTGATTGACCATTGAACTAAATCGTTGTTTATTTGGGTAAGATTAAAATATATTTTACTATTCAATATTGGAGTTGGTGTGAAACAAAAATTAATAATTTATTGTTATGTATGCAAATGAGAACTACAATTCTGAGCTTATTGAGCATCTCTTAGTCAAACACAAAGGCAATTTTGCTTGATCAAGTTTCGAATCTAAGAAGAAAATGTTTTTAACAAACAAAAGGTTAATAATAAAATTTGGAGGATTTAAAATATTGCGTATGGTAGCATGAAACGTCACAATCTTCTTAATTGTCAGGCTGTTGATATGGCTACGAAAAAGTGACAATGGAAACACATAGCTGAAGATTTCATACTTACAGTGGGATAAACTTCAAACCTCTAATATAAATTAGTTAAATTTAGTTATTATTTTTTTTATCAATTTTAAGTTTTCGTTTGGAATAATTTTCATGAACTTATCCATTAGGAGATCTCTTTGGAAAATTACCGTACATCCGATATCTATTGAAATTTTGACATCCTCACTTTTTGGAAAAAGAAGTTCAAGATACAAGTTTATGTGCAAAAAATAAATTAAACAATAAAAGTCTCCTTATATTTATGGAACTTATAATAGACAAATTTTTATTTCATTACCCAGACTTTATGAATAGCCTACTCTATAAGTAATAGTAGAAATTCCGAATTAGTAAGTTCAGTCAAGACGTCATTCAAAAGTTTTGAAGAAAATCACTTTTCTCTTTTGTGAAAATTTGGGACTATCTTATGCGAGTATTGTCGACAAAATGTTAGTCTATGAATGACTAAAAATTAACGAATAAGTGGTTAATCGCGATTGATGATTAAAATTAATTAAGCGATCGCTGTGGTGTAGTGGTTAGAAGTGCGCACTACCATTCCGCAGGGTGAGCGTCCGAGCCCAGTTCCGGCCAACAAAAAAAAGAAAATGTTTTTTGTAATAGTGGTCGGCCCCCGGCAGGAGTCGGCGTAAAACTGTAGGTCCCTCCCCTTTGTGCGACAACGCCAAGGCGCATGCCACAATCGGAGGAGTAGCCCTAACATATGTCGCTGGTCCTCTGCAATAACGGCACAATTCAAAATTTCAGGTTTAGAAAAATACATAATTTGAAAGCTTACAGTATGACTGCATATAATTACGTTCCAAGACATATTATTGCTAAATTACGAAACAAAAAATCTTTAATTGGCTCTACTGAAATATATGAAATTTTTAGTTGTGTCGATATGTAAGCGCCTTTCTATTATTATTAGTAATCATCAATACAATTTCAAATTACATAAACCCAGTCACAGCCCTTTTTTGTATTCGACGCTTCCAGAAATCACATAATACATAAAATAAATAAAAGCTGTTTTGATTAATATTACATAAACTGGAAACTGTTAAAAATAAGTGCGCTTGTTTACAGAGATTTTAGAACCTATTTAGTTCCGAAAATGTCTGTTTGCAACACATAACAATAAAAATGCACATCAAATTGCCAAGAATGATGAAGGAAATCGATTCAGACATGCCTGTTTAACTGGCCGTGCGTGCTCAAAACAAACACATGTTAATTAAGGAGCTATTCAAGTATTATGTAACCACCAGTGGAAAGCGGGGGTCTTGGTTTCCTTATTTTTAATAACAACGGGCAACATTTCTTCAAATAAGTAAAACATTAATTACACACGCACAAATTTTGCCTGCAATTTCGATCACAATTGAACACTGCACTTCACTCTCGTTTCGGATTTTTGAAAGCGTTTTTTAAGCTATTTAGTGGTTTAACACTTCTTGTGGGCACTTGATATTGTAAAAAAAATATGCGCAATTCGATCCCTAACTACATTTTTTTGTAAAGAACGCCCGTTTGCTTTAAATTTGTAAAAATATAATTATTTTTTTAATTTGTTTACGTCTGTCATTTGTTACAAATAAAGAAAAGTCCAAGAGTTGCCAAGTATAAATATCTTTATATCTATTTATTAAAATAATAATTTACAATAATAGTTTATTTAATTAATACTTTATTAAAATACAAATTTGAAGTGCAAATACATTTGTAAAACTGTTTATCACAAAATGTTATTAATTGTTTGCAAGCATACTATAGTTTTCATGCATTTTGAGAATAAATAATCTAATATGTGTACATATATATCGTCGTTTAAAGTACAAAACCGCCTATCGTCATTCTTCAAAACCGTGTGACTGACATTGGCTGCCAAAAATTGGATTTGCTCACAAAAACTCTTGGCTCAATTCTTATCCATTCGTCCTGAAATATACTAGCCAGAATACGTTTGCTTTATAAAAAAGATAACCATTTTGAAATATGGGTGAC